TGTTTCCTCTTCTGTGAAATATTGACTCATGTCTCTTTCCAGTTTTCCATGGGATTGTTTGTGCTTTTCTAATTGGTTTGTTGCTAATCACTGTTGAAGACCCTAAAAGTAAAATATTATTTACAATAGTATACAAATCCTGAAGCATTTAGAGGTGCATCTGAAGACAGACGCATACGACCTATACACTAAAAACTGCAAAACATTGCTAAGAGAAACTCAAGAAGAGCTACGGTCCATTCACGATGGGTCAGATGTCAATTTGAGAGGTGTTGGCGTGAACAGAAACAGAGAGCCATGGAATAGAGCACAGAGAGCCTGATAACTAATTTCTGCAGAAGCGTGAGAGGGTAGTTTCAGCAAATGGTGCTAAAATAAATATCTGTAGGCATCAAAACAAAAATGAAACAGCAACCAACACTTTAATCCTTACCTCATTCCATACATACAAATCAACTAAAAATCATAGATCTAAATCTAAAACCTGAAAATATAAAAACTTTAGAAGAAAACATGATATGTACAATCTTTGGACTTTAAGACAGATTTTAATCATTACTCATAAAGGAGAAATTGATAAATTAGATTTTATCTAAATTAAAAACTGCTATACTTTGGAAAACACAGCAGCACAAATGAAAAGACAAGTCATGGACTAGGAGACATTACTTTCAAATCATTTGTCTGATAAAGGACTTGTATCCAGAATACATAAAAACTTTCTACATTGTCTAATATAAAAACAAAACAATAAATGAGTAGCCAATATATCATCCAATCAGATATATAGATGGAAAATAAACACATAAAGATATCTTTAGTCATTGGGGAAATGAGAATTAAAACCACAAGTTGATCATACCTGTGTTAATGAGGTTAGGAACAACTGGAGAATTCACACACTACTGAAAGGGCTACAACCCCTTTGGAAAACAGTTGAGCACGTTCGTAAAATGTTAAACATGTACTGGCCATCTGGCCCAGCCATTCTACTCTGACATATTCACCTAAGAGGAACGAGAACATGCCTACACAGGACCTGTATACTACATTCAAAGTGGTTTTATTCATAACAGTGAACATTAGCAACAGCAACCAAGTATGGGCCAACATGTAAGTAGATGAACAATGAAAAAAATTGTTATGTCCATGAAATGAAACATTATTGCACACTAACAGGTAATAAAATATTGATAAGCAAAACAATGCAGATGTAAGGCCAAGAAAGGACAGGAGAGAGGGATGAGGAAACTTTGTAGGTAACGAATACATTCATTATCTTAATTGTGATCAAGGTTTCACAAATGTGCACAAATATCAAAGCTTTTCCAATTTCATGCTTTAAACATATGCACTTTATTATCTGCTCATTATCCTTCATTAAAGTAAAAATTGGCCACGATGTATTGAAAGTTTAGTTCATCAGTCCCCCCATTTTCACTGTCCTCAGTACACATTTTCAATGGCCACATGTGGTAGTGGCTACCATAGTGGACAGGACAGGTATAGAACATGCCTATCCTTACAGAAAGGTCATCAACTGGACAGCGCCATTCTAACTCAGACATCAAAAGCATCTTTTTCTTTCTTCCCGCCTACATCTGCCTACCCCAAACTTCAAGACCAGGGTGGGAATCGGTGATGTAGCAAAGCACGAGTACATAAACTACCTGAGGAATTTAAAAAGCAGGGCTAAGTTTATTCTAATGTGCCTTTGCTGGGAAGTACTATATGCTTTTTATTCATAAACATGCAGCATACTATCTCCGATGTCACAGCTTCTATGGATTATATTTAATTACTTTTCACCAGAGCTCAAATGGAGGGCAATTTTAAATCAAAGAAATTGGGAAAGATATGAAGCGGTTGGAAAATTATTACATTGGTTATAGTTTCCATATAGCCCATCAGGGAGAATATAAAGTTTTTCCTACGTTCAGTCATGTGATCTTCTGGGTTTCAAAATATTGTACATAGTATATATTGCATACGTAAAACATGTTACAACCAGATTTTCCTACTTACAATAATCAAGCACATAACCCTTATACAGAAAAAATATCAGATGCCTCAAGTGTAAGAACAAACATTAAAAAATAATTGCACTGCTTAGTATATATAGTACAGTATACTATCGTACTATAGTGTAAATACATATATTTAACAGACTATTATAGCATGAAACATTTCACGTGCAACCAACAGTTTAAAAAATTAGGACAAAGAAGTTATTTAACTTGATGTTCTTACTATAGCTTTTTTTTTGTCTTCCTTTAGTGTAACTCTCAATTTTGAGAGTTTTGGATGATTTTTATTTTCACAAGAACCCCAAACTCCATTTTCTGTCCCAACCCTGGTAGCCTTGTGGACGTGAAAGGCAGAATCTATGTTTGCTCTGTGCTCAATATGCAGAATGCAGGGCTCCAATCCACAACTGCCCTGGCAGTTCCAAAGCTTCATCTACAAACCCTTCAGGCACATTTTGGCAGCTGAGGAATGGAATACAGAAAAAGGCAAATGGAGTTGAGGGGAGGAGGGAGGTTGGTGGCCAGAGCAGACCAATCAAGACAATCCCCAAACAATGTATGGTAGTTGATGAGAAGAATAAACAGAAACCAAGTCCCTCTGTTATGTGCAGAGGCAGAACTCAGAAACCAGTTTCACTTACTTTTTTACACCGACAGAGCCATTTTCCTTGTTTTCCATGTCAACAGATAGCATGGGAAGGCTGCAGGGTTCCTCTACTTCCGCAACTAATCAATAAGGGAGAAAAGCTCATATTTAATGCTTAGAAAGTGAGAGGATATGTATTCTACGTCGGAAACATAAGGATGGCTTTTGCAGCTTCACACCGGTTCACGGATGTTTGTTTAAATCTCCAGCTCCCTCGGCGCTTGGCGAGTGTGACTGAAGCACAGAATTGGAGGAGACGGACTGGGGTGCTTTCCGATGTGCCGGCACTCCCTGCCTCCACAAAAAGCATTTGCAAATGAAATCGAATCCCCTGTGAACACAAGTGCTGTGTGAACTGGGCACTGCTTCCTCTGGGTGCCAGGCTCTCCCACTGAAGACACTGCAACTCACAAACCAGTGAAAGTAAAAAATCAAAACACAGGAGGGAACCCTGTTCCCCAACCCCTCCACCATGGGCTATGGTTTGTTTTTTTTTTAATGCATTCATTTCCTTGACCAGTCCTACTGCTTCTATATTTTTCCATTACAATGCAGAAGGGTACTTAAACCCTTTGTCAGCAAGTATTTCCCTACCTCACACGTTCTCAGGGAAAGCCTCAAAAGCCTGTCTGTGAGATGGTCATGCTGTAGCAAAGCTGGAAGCCTACAAAAATGTCAGATAGTCCTTAGCACAGAAAGGTGGTGCTGGTGTGTGTGCGTGTGTGTGTGTGTGTGTGTGTGTGTGTGTGTGAGAGAGAGAGAGAGAGAGAGAGAGAGAGAGAGAGAGAGAGAGGCTGACTCTGACTTATAAGACTTACGTAAAAATAATCAAAACATTCAAGAAGGTATGGTAGTATCCAAACACCTATCACTTTGTCTTTTTGTTCTGTAGGATACGGACTCTGAAGAAATAAAAGCCTCCACAATTAAGATGCAATTAGCAAGATGAAAAAGCTCTGAACAAAACTGCTTTAAAGAAAGAAGAAAAAACTAGTCCGGAAACGTGCTTGCTCTTCTACAGCTGAAACCATAAATTAAATCCATTTCCTCTCAAATCACTTTCTATCTCGGCACTCCTTCTCTGGGGATTGCTCTGACATGGCAAGTGCATCGTTTAGTATAATCACAAGATTGTACCACTGTTAAGAGAAGTAGATGATTAACAAATAACACTGCAAGTGTGGGATAATTTTCACTCAGGTAGAGACACACACACACAGACACATGGACTTCCAGCTGCTAAACCACTGGTAGAGAAATCCGGCATTCACTCGCCACAGAGATATTCACGTACATCCACACGCCGTTAGAGTAGACAAGAAGCTTGCACTGCTGCTCCATGCCAAAAGAATGATTTCACTTCAGTTGGAAACTTACACACTCACCATTTTCTAAGCATCTCAGCAAAAACAAAACCAAAAGCACAGTGAGACTCTGCAACATCACACTGTATGAGCTTATTCTTATTTTGGTGGAAAGTAAAAGAAAACCTACCCATAAGCAACTAAGACATATTTTTTATAGGCTTATCAAGAACAGCCAAAGAAACCCCAATGTTTTCTTTCACAAAGTAGGCTGGCAAAGGAATTCAATAAGGAGGTACAATTTGACACAGTGAAATAAAACCAGGCTGGCTCTCAGCCAACATGACGTTAGGAATCACATACAAGCTGCACCAACTGCCTTCTGGTTCATGGCTGACTTTTTAAAGCTACAGTGTCTGTTCACTTTTGCTAACGATCGCCAGCACAATTAGTGGAAGTGAATGAATCCCCAGTCCCAAACCCCAGAATTCTCTCTGCACCTGTCTTGTACAAGGAGCAGCAAGCTCTATGAACAGAGTTGTGCTTTCTCCCTCCCCTTCAGGGTCGCAGCATGCTATGGTTCTACTGTTGTTCTGAGCATGAATGTCATGTTTCAAACTATTTCTTCCCCTCTCTCCCCTGTGGTAAAAATAATAACAAGAGCCCAGTGCTTATCAGACTACGACCAGTGAAGGCTCAGAGGCTGTATTCCCGTGTTACTCTTTGTTCCTAATAGAGATTTGTGGAACAAGTTCCCAGGCCTGGCTTCTAAGTAATCCCTTTGTGGGAATACGGACAGTACTGCCCACAAGAAAATCCTTTTTGCTTCATTATGCAGGAGGTAGCATATTTCAGAGTGGATGCAAAATAGATGACCAGCTCTCCTGAGGACGCCCACATGATTTTACTTTGGCATTCATCCTACTAAATGAAGTCAGTAGAAATCCAAACAGAAAGAAAACAAAAGTATTCTAAAAAATGAAAGCAATCTATTCTGGGAGGTTTACTTTTTGGTGTTTATACAGTTGTTTACCCCAAAAAAGGCATAATTCAACCTACATTTATTGAGTACCTATGCGTTCCTGGTACTGTATCAGTGAGCTCTAAATGAAAAGACATCATGTCATCTGCGAAATTAATACTACCTCCCACCACCACCCTCGATTTCCATTCAGGAAACTGGGAGATGGGGTCAAGCAGCTGGTCAGGACCTTTTGATTGAGAGCGTCCAGGCTATCTGACTCTCCTCTTGCTTGGCTGGGAACCAGTGCTGAAGAACATTCCCACCCCACAAACACTCCGCACATACACAGGAAACAGAAACCAAACTTCCAAAACTTCTTGGTTAAGATGTCTAGAAAGCCACGCAAGACAGGCCAGAGAACGGGGCTCCCATGAAGGGTCCTGGAAAAAGATACCTGCTGCTGCAACGCCGCGTAGTGAGCGTTCAGGCAGAGCCGGACGCACTGCTCACCTCCCGTTTCTTCCGTAATTTTTAGGGCCACCAGGAGATCAGTAACTGTCATCTAAATTTGGTGTCTGAATTTCAAAGTCAGATTTTGCATTTTCTCTCCTTACTATAGAGCAGGAATATTAGGAAATTTGTCGTCCTTAAAGACCATCACTGAGAAAGACACGATTTCAAGTGCTCTCTCTCCTTATATTTCCTATTATCAGGCTAGTGATATTGGCCTAGGAACAGATTCTAAGTGCTCAGGGTTCTTAAGTATGAAACCCAAAGCAAACCCACTGCCACGGAGTCTGTGCCAACTCTTATCAAGCCTATTTAGGGTGTCCACAGCTGTACCTGAGCAGCTTCATCTTTCTCCTGGGAGCAGCTGGAGGGTTTGAACCACTGACCTTGCCTTTAAAAAGCAGTTCAACTCAGGCATTAAAAAAAAATCGCTGCTGTTGATTCTACTCTACTGAGCAGAGTAGAACTACTGTATTGAACACAGTTCAGATTCCCTGTTTTATCGGGCTTTGCTTTGTTGTACTTCACCAAAACCGAACACACTGAGAGTCTGCTCTGGTTCACCGAGACCCTGTAGGACAGGCTAACCCTGCCTGCCCCTGGGTTTCTGAGACTGTAAATCTTTATGAGAGTAGAAAGCCTCATCTTTTCCCTGCAGACCAGCTGATGGTTTCCAACGGCTGACCTGGCAGTTAGCAACACAGCACATAAGCACACCACCACCAGGGCTCCTCGGTTGTGCTGCACCGATACTTCATTTTAACAATTGGAAGGTCGGTGACAACTTTGTGTGGATCAAGTCTATTGGCACCATTTTCCAACAGCATCTGCTCACTTTCGGTCTCCGTATCACATTTTTTTAATTGTCACAAAATTTTGAACTTTTCCATAATGCTATGGCACACTTAATAACTACAGTACAGTGTAAACATTATTTTTAGTGTGACATGTATTGCAATATTCGCCTTATTGTGGTGGTCTAGAGCCAAACACACAACAATTGTTTCTGAGGTATGCCTGCACTATTTTTAAACGTAGGCCACCCAGCAAATCCTTATAGCAATACTTAATAAATACAGAGCTTTCTGGCCAACAGATCCCATAAAGTCTTTGTAGTTTATTTAAGAGTCCTTCATGGCTCTCTAACTAAGGGGCCCTGGTGGCATAATGGATTGCACGCTGGGCTACTAACTGCAACGTCAACAGTTCAAGCCAAGTAAACACTGCAGGAGAAGGAAGAGGTGCACTGCTCCTGCAAAGATTTACAGCCTTGGAAACCTCCCAGCCTTGTCCGGCCAGCCCCCAAACAGAACCAAGGTCACTGCCATCAGGTTGAACTGCCCCTGTGGGTTTCTGAGACTGAGTCTTTAAGGGAGAGAAAGCCTCATTTTTCTCTTGCAAGGTAGCTGGTGGTTTCAAAGGACTAGCTTTGTGGTTACCAGGCCAAAGCACCACCAGGGCTCCATTGGAAGCCCAAGGGGGCAGCTTTATCCTGCCCTGCAGGGTTGCTATGAGTTAGAAGGGTTCAATGGCAGTTCATTTGGTTTTTCCATTTTGGGTTTTCTAACTAAATTCAAGTGGTAGGAGCTGGACGGTGAGTCTTGAAGACAGGCGGGGTCGTTTCCATGTTCAGCTCACCCCTCTGGAGGACAGAGGAGGGGAAATACAGTTACAGCCAGTTCTTTGAGACACACTCAGAGGAAGGATTAGCCAAGTTATTGTACACTTAGAGAAGGCCTTCCCCTCTCCTCTTCCATGCAGTGATCCAAAGTTTGTCTGTTAGGCACGTGCAGGGGGCTTGAGATGGTGTAGGTGGGGAATTAATCCTGTTCTATAAAAAGGGAGCCCAAAGCATTCTAAAACTGTGACAACAGGAGCGTTCTCTTATCAGCTAGTTTCTGACTTTGAAGATAAGCTGATGTTTACATATATAGTTATATGTTGACATATATGGAGCTCTGTGGGCAAAGTGGGGAATGCATTTGACTACTAACTGCAGGATCCTCTGTTCAAACCCACCAGGAGGAAGATGAGGTCATTTCCTCTGTAAACTTTACAGCTGCAGAAACCCCATATTAGATCCCTGTGAGTCTGAAGGTACTTAACGGCCCTAAGTCTGTCTCTCAATGCCCATTCTGTCAAAGAAGGCTGTTTCACATCAACTGCCTTCTGTTTAAAATGATGCTCATGTGTAGTGTGTTGCTTACGTGAATGTGGTTTGCTTACATTGTGTCATGTGTGTATTTTATGTGGTATGTTGGTGGTGTATGTATTATCTGTCAGGGGTGTTGCCCAGGGTGTTTGTGGAATGAGTAGTATGTGTGGTATGTTTGTGCTGTGTGTAGCGGTAGCGTGTGGGGGGTGTTTAGTTTTGTGTGGTGAGGATGAGGCTGTGTGCCAGGGAGATGCAAACATGCACGACCTATGGAATGTGCCAAAAGGACTCTGGAGTTCCTTGGGGCCGCCAGGTGTGGCCTCAGGTGAGGAGAGGCGCGTCCCAAAGCGCAGGACGTGATTGTCCCCATAGGGCGTCTTTTATTGACTAGTCCCCTCCTCCAGGCAGGCTCACCACGCGCGCGCGGTCGGTATCGACTGCATGGCAGTGCCTATGGTGATTGGTTTTCCAAGCAGGAAGGTGCCCTGGGGAGGATGGGGGTTATCGGCCCTCCCTAAGAAGCCTCCCTTCCTAGATGGGACCCAGACTTGGGTGCATATGGCCGCAGAAGCCGCCTCAGGAAAGTTACTGAGGTGCAGCGCCCATCCATCTTGATGGGCGTCGCTGCACAAAGGAAGGAACCTACCGGTGAGGGGGCGGTGGGGGCACAGGGAGGTATCGCTCTGCCTCTCCCACCTGCCACTCCAGCCCAACGACTCGCCTTTGGCTCCAACGACAGAGTGGGGACTTTGACTTTCAAGGGGTCTTGGAGTTTGGGGGCTCTGCGGGAGCTGGTTGAGGGAAGGGCTGTGTGAAAGCTGTGGCATTTGCCAAGCTGCGCCCCACAAGGCCCACTCTGCGAGCGCAGCGGCTTCGCTTTGCCCCCAGTGCCAGTCTGGGCTCCAGTCCACGTCGGGGTGCCACACGCGACGGAGCGCCGGCCGCCGGGCAGAGATGCGGGCCGGGCAGGGCGGCGAGTCCTGACTGTGCTTTTCTTTGGTCCTAGAGAGTGGGGGGGACAGGCGGGCCGACCCAAGGCGCTGCCGCACTAACCGACCACTTACCTCCCCGCGTGGCCCCTGCGGGAGGCTTTGCCCGGAGCCGTTGAGTGGCGGCCGGGCGCAAAGCCCCACGGGAATTGTAGTCCTCGGCCGGCGGGGCGGGGCCCGAGGGGCGGGCACAGCGAAGAGGTGTGGTCCGGAGGGGTCCTACCAGTGTCGGAGACGCCGGGGCGGTGGCCGCCGGAACCTGGTGGAAGTCATTTGCCAGAATTGAAAACCTCCCCGGAGCCGGTGGGATGGAAACACGGTTAGAAGGTTTCCAGTGCGGATCCTTGTCCAGCTCTGACGGGGCCGCCCTGATGGAGTGTTCACTTGGGCTCTGGAGTCCCTCGGTCCAAATGAGTACTGTTTAGGGCCCCCCTCTCCCTCATCCCCTTCATGCACACGATACACTGCTTGAAGCATCTCTTGTTCACCGAACGAACGACTCGCTAGAAACCGTGAGCATACGAAGGGAGCACTTTAGAGTTGGCAAAGCTCTTTTTTACTGAATT